ACACTTAGTCCCGTAAACTGAGAGCTTAAGAGTTGAAAAATAGGTCCGTAATCGGAACAGTGTGAAGACGACCTCGGAATGGAAATCCGATGGTTCCGTTAGCTCCGTTAGGTGATTTCGGGGTTGGGAGCGTGTTCGGAATGTATTTTGGAGGCTCGTAGCTCATTTAGGCTTGAAATGCCGAAGTTTGAATTTTTGAAGTTTCCGGTCCGATAGTGAGTTTTTGATCCGAGGGTCGGATTGGAATTCCGGAAGTTGCAGTAGCTCCGTCATGTCATTTGGGATGTGTGTGCAAAATTTCAGGTCATTCGGACGAGGTTTGGTTAGGTTTTTGATCGAAAGCGTGTTTGGTTGGAATTTGAGGTTCTTAGACTTGAATCTTTGATTAATTCGGGTTTCCGGCGTTGTTTTAGGTGTTTTAAGGATTGGTACAAGTTCGAATAAGGTATTAGGTGGTATTGGTGCTTTTGGTTGAGGTCCCGGGGGCCTCGGGATGATTTCGGGTGGTTAACGGAAAAATTTTGGAAGTTGAGAAATAGCAGCACTGCTGCTTCTGGTATCTTTCCGCTTCTGCGGCTTGGGAACCGCAGAAGCGGACTTGGTCGTCGCAGAAGCGAGATTTTCCCTCCCTCTCAGGAACCCCAGAAGCGGTCTCCTTTCCGCTGAAGCGGAACCGCAGGATTGTTATGTGTCCGCAGAAGCGGACTCTGGTCCATTAAGTGAAAACCGCAGAAGCGGTTGTTTTTCCGCATATGCGGGACCGCAGAAGCGGTCCCTTGTCCGCAGAAGCGGAAATCCCTGGGCAGAAATAGAAATTTCGAGGGTTTGAGTTCATAAGTTACAAAAATCAATTGAGAGCTCGGTTTAAGGCGATTTTGAGTGGGATTTGAAGTGAAGATCACTGGGTAACGTTTCTTTGGTCCCTTCTTGTTATATTTCATCATTTTATAGTTAAATACACCATTGGAATTCGAATTTAGGATCAAAAATTGGAAGAAACTTCATAGACCTAATTATTGAGTTTTGAGTGGGCAATTGACCTCCGATTTGGGAGATTTTTATATGGTTAGACTCGTGAGAGTACGAGGGTTCTGAAAATGTGAAAATTATTCGATTCCGAGACGTTGGCCTGAGGGGCATTTTGGTCATTTTACCTATTTTCGCGTCCTAGCTTTAAATTTAATAGTGGAATCAGTTGTTTGCAATATTACTTACGATATGTAATTGAATTGAATAGATTTGGGCCATTTGGAGTCGGATACTCGTGGCAAAAGTGTGATTTCGAGTTGATTTTGGTGCCGATTCGAGGTAAGTGGCTTGTCTAACCTTGTGTGGGGGACCTTTCCCCTTAGGATTTGTTATTTGTTGATTTGAGTGCCTTGTACGCGAGGTGACGGGCGTGTACTTGAGCCAATTGTTGGAAAATCCGGTTTCTCTTAAGATATTGAGATTGAGTTCCTTTCATATTTGCTTTATTCTACTTGCAATTATAACTTGTGCTAGATTAGGAAAGCATGTTTAGTTGATTTAACTTGCCTAATTGCTTAAGTTGCCTTAACTGTACTACGTGAAGCATGCTAGGCCAGTACTACCTGTTGCTTGTCTTTTGTACTTCGTTTCCGTGTACCTTCTGGTTGTGATTGCGCATTTACATTGGGACTACGGATGTGGGATTCCGGTAGCTCCCCCCCTTGTTTGTTTACTTTGGGACTGCGGGTTCGATTCCCGATAGATCCCCCTGCACTTTTACTTTGGGACTGCGGGTTAGATTCCCGATAGATCCCCCTGCACATTGATAGTTGGACTACGGGTTAGATTCACGGTATCCCGGGAGATCCTTCGGATATACACATATGATGGACTACGGGACGGTATCCCGGGAGATCCACTGGACAGTTGAGAAAAGGACTACAGGACGGTATCCTGGGAGATCCTCATTGTTACCATTGGTGTTGAGCTGTACTTATTCTGTGGTTGTTCCGTTCTTGTGTATTTGTTATTGCCTTGTTTAACCTCTCTTATTACACTGCTGTATTTATTATTTCTGTCAGATTATCATACTGTTAATTATTGTTATTACTATATTTTGTCTCAGTATGGCCCTGACATTCCTCGTCACTACCCAACCGAGGTTAGGCTTGGCACTTACTGAGTACCGCTGTGGTGTACTCATGCCCTTCATGCGCATATTTTTCATGTGCAGATCGTCCAGGTACCTCTACTCAGGCGCCCTATCAGTGAGGCAGAAGGGCTGCGGAGACTTCGAGGTAGATCTGCTGCGTCCGCAGACCGACGAGTCTCCCTCTTATTCTATCTTTAGTACTTAATTTTCCTTCTTTCGGTTGTTAGAAATTCTGGAGTTTGGAACCTTTACTATACACTTCTGTAGCCTGTGTTGCCCGTGAGTTTCCGGGTTTTGGGAATTGTTTTAGACTTGTGATATTGAGTTTTACTTGCCAAGCGGCATGCAGTACAGTTTCTTTTAGATATTTGATTTGATTTTCTCTATTTTTTCACAATTAATATATTTCCACAAATGTTAGGCTTGCCTGGTCATAGGGACCAGGTGCCGTCATGACATGTTCACGGTTGGTGAACTAGGGTCGTGACAGTTATTCATGTTAATTTATGATTTTAATATTTAATGAAATGTTAAGTTTTTGTCGCTAGTTTTTTGTGCGTTTTATTTGTGTTTTTTCTATTGTTATGTTTATGTTAATTAGTTTTTTCTTGCTTAAGTCTTAAATATTAACTAAAAAACTTCAACTCTTCCTGCTGAAATTTTTAAACAATAACTAAAAAACTTCAGCACCTAGGCCGAAGTTTTTTCATGCAATATGAAATTTTAATTTAGCCAGTGTAGGAGCAAAACTTCAGCTCCGCCTGCTGAAGTTTTTAAGTAATAACTAAAAAACTTAAGCAACTATGCCGAAGTTTTCAATTATTAACAAAAAAACTTCAGCAACTATGCCGAAGATTTATAATAATCATATAATGTTTTAATATAATTTCTTCTTCGTTGTGTTATTTGCCAGCTCGTTAACTAAATAACTTCAGCTTAGAATGTTAGAATTCATCGTCAAACAGAAATTCAGCATATCAGTGAAGTTGCTCAAACAAATCAGAAAACATATAATTCAAAAAATACTTACAATGTATTTGAGTTTGAATTTGAATATGGAATTTGAATGCGAGACGCGATCTCCGAAGAGACGGACTGATGGAGGAGATACGGAGGAGATCTGGAATTTGAATCTGGGAATACGGAGGAGAGACGGACTTTTATATGTTTTGGAAGGGGTATAATG